CCAGCGGATCCATGAGGGGAGCTGGTTTTTAAACTGGCTCCCCTTGCGGACCAACTCCCACCTGGCGCCCCATGCTGATAGAGGCAGCAGCACAGTGTGGCGGGGGCTCCCACCCCCAGGAACTGTAGAATAGTAGAGTAACCAATACGAATTCATGAGATTAATCAACTATTCAATTAACCGATATTTAACATCCCTAGTACACTGCCGTTCTGAGGTCTCCCAGCTGATATGATGTCAACATGGTTCTCCTTCTGTAGTGCCCTTTGTGATCCTGTCAGTTTTGGCTTGCTTTCAATTCTCTGATGCTCTGTACGTCATTGGGGGTGCTGGAGGAACCATAGAGACAAAGCGAATGCAGGCAAGAGATAGCAGTGTTGAGGTGAACCTGTTCTATGTGACACTGATGTCACTATGAAATGAACTAGGATAGAGTCAGATGTGACAAAGAAGGACAATGGCAGATCTGTTTGTATTACCAGATTTCAGTGAGAAGCTGAGACATTTTAAACCTGAAGTTTTATTCAGATTTTGCAAACTGTATTGTGTCTGTCTGTCTGTCCAACCACTAATCCTGGGCCCTGCTCCTTTTTGAGCAGTAACAGTGCAACTTGTGCAGTATGATGGTAACCAGTTCGGGAAAATTAACTCGTGCTACTGTTGCCTGTGTTCCTATGCAGGATTCTGGTGGGGGTTACTTATTATAGATTGCTAATATAGTGACATGCCGCGAATTGGTGGCTAATGCTGTTCTCCTACCGGCAGACTTGTAATGCCTCCTTTGCCACCCGTGACCGACTGCGCTCTCACCTAGCATGCCATGAAGACAAAGTTCCATGCCAGGTGTGTGGAAAGTACCTGCGGGCAGCGTACATGGCAGATCATTTGAAGAAACACAGTGAAGGACCAAGCAACTTCTGCACTATCTGTAACCGAGGTAACGATGAGCTCTCTCTCTATTTCAGGGGGGTGGTGCACGGCAGAGAAAAAGCTAAATTCGCTGATGCTATCTGTAACAGAAAAAAAAATCATACCGTAGCTTCCCTGGTTGTTTTCCTCATTGAACAATAAACGTCTTGAAACTGATAGAGGTATTGACCTGACCTTTGGACATCACTGGCTGCTTAATATTCCTTCTCTGATTAAATTTAAATTAAATGCAGAGCTTGGCATTTTTGCATAGATCTATAAACAATTTTTTGCCAAATCTCCCTCCCACATCTCAGCAAAATATCCTGTCCCTGCTTGCCATGATGCAAATCCCTGTGCCAGGAGCGTACTGGCAATCAAAATAGGCCCAGGAAATGGGTTGAGAATGGCCCTCCCCATGACGTCACACCTGCATGCCCCTCAAGACCTGCTCCCTGCGTCGTGTCTGGTGTGTGGCGCAGGCAGTGGGTCGGGCTCTGCAGTGTGGAGGTGGAGCCGCTCGGAGTGAGGGGCAACGGCGTGCGGACACAACAGCCCACCGGGAAATTCACAGTATTCTGCCAGGACAGTGTGCCCCTGCCCTGTGCACCTGTTTGCTATCACCAGGCTGGACTAATTACTCTGGGGAGGGCATGTGAGAAGACTCTTTGGTTTCATTTTACAGAAGTATATGTGATATTGTGGTCCCCTCTTAGCCTCCTGCATTAGAAGTGGCGTTCAGCTGCTCTCTCGTTTGAACCCTGGAAATTGGTTTGTGTTGGTTTACATTTACAAAGTTGGCTTTGTAAGAAAAAGAGCCCGAAACAAATTTTCATTTCTAAAACAAAGCTAAGCTAAACTTTTCTGTTACATACATACTTTCCACAAATTAGGGAGGAAAGCCTGAAGATGTTGGGATGTAAAAGGTTACCGGTTAATCGGAGGGCCCAGCGGGCAGAAACAACAGTCCTCTGCTGCCCATGTTTAACCGGTTAACTATTTTAGGCGGTTTTTACATAGCTAGTAGGTAGCATGGGACCTGAAGGTAAGCCATGGATAAACAGGACAAATCTTCTAGAAGAAGGAAGTTAAAGAGCAATAGAGTCTAAAATCAGACTGTCTGACAAGAGGCTTAAAATACTGACGTAAAAACACTACTTCAGAAGAAGGCTGTAGATTGTAATAGAGAATATGCAGCTGGTGCTAGGTGAACAAAAAGATACTTGTGCATGTCTTCACGCTTTTGTTAGCAGCAGTGGCACAACAGGGGGTTCTCAAGAAAGGTGAAAAGATGCCCAGTAGAGGATTTCCTCAGATAATTCACCTGACTAGGGAGCATAAAGTTAGTGATCCTCAGAATGAAGAGGTAGGAAGTAAAGAGACTCCAGCTCACAAGGAGAGGACCGATCCAGGTATTGTATCAAAAGCATTGTATTTTCTGGCCTCTAGAGACACTTGTCTCCTACTTCTCGTGTCTAGATATACATTGGTTTATTGTTTGCACAGAACCCTGACCAATACTTTGCTACTCTTTGAAGTGTACCTACTAATAACTGATAATTATTACAGGTAAGAGAATTTTTAGTGTG